GAGATCGGGGATTGCCGTTTGGCTACCTATGATGAAACCGAAATACCCCTCGACGTCATTCCATCATAAGTAATTTATTTGGCTAATTTTTACGCGGGACGCCCTACCTTACGCAACCACAGTTATAAGCGGTGGGCCTAGTGAGGGTCAGTTTAATGTCATAACCAGGACATAAAAAAGTAAATGAACAAAAATCAGACCGTTTCCTTGAAAACTTCACCATCACCGTCAACTTTTGTCTTCTTTGCAAGGCTAAAAATGCCAGTATCATCATCTTCAAACAATTCTTTTAAACTGTTGAGAGACAAGGAGGCGGCTGATTGGTCTGTCGTCAGCCAATCACAGTTCTTTCTTTTGAAATTTCCACCAATGGAAAAACCCGGCGGTGTGGTGAGCAAGTTATCAGTTTGGAGGATATCATGGTCGTCATCAGCCAGTCCATCTTTTAACAATTCACCTATGTCTGGTTTGTCGAATCCACCTGGACATTCATCAAAATAAGACTTTAACTACTGTCCAGGTGATCATGTATTTTTTATATCCATCACTTCTCATGCTTAACATCTCTTTCTTTCATCATTCAGTCAGTATAACTACCAACCAACCAACCAACCAACCAACCAACCAACCAACCAACCAATCAACAAACCAGCTAACCAACCAATCAACCCACCAATCAACCAACTAATCAACCAACTAATCAACCAACTAATCAACCAACCAGCTAACCAACCAATCAACCAACCATTCAATAAACCAGCTAACCAACCAATCAACCAACCAATCAGCCAACCAGCTAACCAACCAATTAAACAACCGAACAATAAGCCAACCAACTAACCAGGCCAGAAAGGGCAGTTTTCAGTGTTTCCTCTGATGCCCTCCGAGATGTAGCTAGGTTTCCTGAGCAATGAAGTTGAAGTTCTTGAGGTTTTGTTGTGGTCTCCATCTATCATCACCTGAAAAAAATTATTAGGCTGATGATTTGCAGGATGTTAAAAATGTTTTCATCAAGATAGAAAAAAAATGATGCAACAGCAATTTTTTTTGGTTTTGAATTGTAGAATTGAATTCCAACATGAAGCTGGTGGCAAATGACAAACAACAACCTCATTGAAAACCAACATCTCTCCTGTCAACAAGTCATGTTCAACGTTGATTGTGGTGGTGGGAGGAGCCAAGTTGATTGACAAGCACGCATCTAAATTAACTCTTCTTGGAACTATGCTGATTGAAATAAAGATAATATTCATATTGAGAATCTTTTTCTAATTGTGAAAAATGTTGATGCAGTTGAAACAAAATTTCAATTTGATAAAAAAACTATAAAACTGAATTGGTATAATTAAATTTGAAAAAACAGTAAAATTCAACATTTTGACTAATAGTATGGCAAATAAATGTCATGCAAAAAAATGTGAACAGAAACCATTTAGAAGTTTGTATTGTATGAATGTGCAGATCATCAATGTTGGTGAAGATGTCACGGACAGCATCTGTGGTACTCTGAAACAATGGAGGCAAGCCAGGGTCCAGCTGGTGTGGTCATCATTTTTTAAAGTGGTGGTGTTACTATTTTAATGGAAAAATCCGAAATAAAACTTATGTGAAATCCAATCAAGTATATTTTAATCAAAAATAGGTTTGAAACTTAAAATTTCAAAGTTTGCAATGCTGAATTTACTTTAAAAAAATATCAAAAAACAAAGAAAATTAAAAACATTGAAAAAAAGATTTTAAAATGTGAAACATTGAAAATACTAACGGAAGAGAAATAATCCATCTGAATTGATACTTCGTCTTCATTTTTCATTTCGAAAAAATTGTTGAAACTCTTTGGTCTCTGGACTTTTTACTTCCAAGCTAATTTCTTAAATTAAAAATAATTAAATTTTAATTTAAACTTCAATGATTTAAAAAATAATAAGTATTATTATAAATTATAATATAATTTTATACTAATAAAAATTCAATTTAAAACTTCTGTTAATTTATTAATTAAGAATTTAAGATTAAAATTTAAAAGCAATTAAAATATAAAAAAAACTAATTTTAAATAAAAAATAGCATTTTTATTACAAGATATGTCAGTAACATAACAAAAGATTCATTAGTAACAAATTAAAAATTGTTAGCAAACAAAATCTTAAATTTATTTTATTATCATTTTCTTTAGATTAGATTTTAATATTTTATCAATAAAGAAAAATAATTAAAATAATATAAAATACTAATAATATAAAAATAATGATAACCTGCAATCATCAACACATTATAATAATTTGTTAAATAAATAAATTAAATTTAAATATAATTTAAAAAATTAAAAGCAAATTTTAAATGAAAATCAAATCCAAATGCATGCAATCGTGATTGTAAGCATTTATATTTTTAAATAATTTTAAAAGTTAATCTAACTTTTAAGTTTTATTACATTTTTAAATTATTTTTTTTAATAACTAAAAAAATAAATTGCCGTAAATTTGTTAAAAATGCATAATTAAAAATTATAAATTTTAAAAAGTTCAATAAATCTGGTTAATAGTAATTTGCAATTTTCCTGGTTGCTATGACAACCATGCATTGGTTCTTTTAGTAATTTGGTCTGCTCCCGTTTAGTTTTAAAATGTCATACAATGGTAAGTTTTTCTTTTCATATTTTACTGAAAACTTTTAATAATTATCAATTAATTTATTAATTTTATTAATTAAGCTACGTCGAGCTGGTATAACAACCACGCTTCCAAGAAATCGAATTATGTTCCGCGTCCTGTCGTTGCTGCGCCACAAAAATCTCAAATTCCCGGCCTGGGGTACGACTCAAATTTATCAACAACAGCATGGAGTAGCAGTGCGAATAAATCGACGAGGCAGCAGCAGCAGCAGCCTTTTGAGGACGACCCTCCTCCAGCACGCAGGCAGTGGATGCAAGAGAATGATCTGGATCTCTACCAAGATAATTTGGACTTCAATGGTAGGGGCTACAAAGAAAATTTTGTTGAAGATGGCGGCCCATCAAACAATTATGATGACGAAGAATATGAAAATTATCGAAATGTTAATAACTCTGTGAATGTCAATGAAAATTTAAGAAGGGATGAACAGTATGCTCTTTACAATAAAAATATTAACAATAGTGAAGAAAATTATATTGAGCAGTACAGCAAAGATTCACATATGCAACAGCCAGAGTTCTACAATTCAGAAAGACCAACTTGGTTAAATGACGAAGGTGAAAATAGTTACTCATGTGCTGATCAGACTGGTGGCAAACCCACTACTGAACAAAAAACTTCAAAGTTATGGCTCTTCTAATTTGTTTTTTTATTTTCTTGCACATTTTTATTGTTCCATTATCATTTTCCAGTACGTTTTTCTTCTTTATTGATTATTCATTCATAATTGTTTGTTATATTCTAAATTTATATAGATGTTTAAGCATGTTGGTCCAACCATGCCTTCCAAATTTTCTATAAGAAATTTTTATTCTATATTTAGAAATAGTAAAAATAAATAAACTTTTCAACTTTGAAATGTTTATTAAAACTTCCCTACAGATACATTGACAACTTTCAACAAAATCAAACTCCTACATTTGATAAGACAGCAAGCAGTCAACAGTTACACAAGAAATTTTTATCCAATCCTTTACTGGCTTCTAAGTCACCATTTGCTATGGAGTATGAGCACAAGGATGGTCTCATGTCTGAAAACAACAGGGCTTTTGGTATTCGCCTCTCTTTCTTCATTCTCAATTCTGATCGAATTTTATATTCTCTTACATGTTCATTTAAGTTTTAAAGACATATTTTACATTAAAACAAATTTTATATAGTTATTAACATTAAATTTTAAAAAATTTCTTTTGAAAAAGCTATAAAGAAGCTTGATTCAGACTTCAAATCAAACATGGCCATCAATAACTCAGATTACTACAAAAACAGGTTGATATCATTAAAAATGTTACAAAACTGTTAACATTAATGATATGTTCATGCGATACAATATTCCTTCAATATCACTTTGCCTTCAATAGGCAAAGATCACTTTTCAGTTGAATCCAGGCACTTTACCACTACACCATATACATTGTTTTACAACAGTATAGTAACATAAAATTGGTTCATTTAATTCATTTCAAGTTAAAAATGATAAGATTAAGTTATTGACAAATTTGAAAATATCTTGAAGGGAACATTTGTTGTTAATTGAATTGAGTAATTGAAGGAACAACTTTGTCAAATAATAAAAATTTATTTTCATTCGGTTTCGATAGACGATTTCATTAATGCAATGCAGTGCTGACTGCTACTACGCAAACATCACCCATCTGTCAACATTGTAGATTGAAGAGTCAGAAGGAGCAGAGGTCAGACATGTCAACGCTCTTGTCATTCGGGTACGCCAAGGAAAAGACGAATCCCTCAATAGCACAGGACAAAAATTCAATGCAAGGAATCATGAAAGGAACTTTTCCATCTGATAACAGAAAGATGGGAAGTCGTGAGAACAGCTTTTCGGTTCGTTTCTCCGAATCAACAAAAGGTGAAAATGCTGATTTTGGTGCTGGAGATAATAGAAAGCCATTATGGTAAGGTCAAGTAATGTTTATACTCTTTTAATTTAAAAAACTGTTATACATTGGGAAATAAATTATTTTTTTAAAATAATAGAGTTCATGTTGCTTTCCATGATTACTGGATGTATGGCAGAAAATAATTTTCTATCTAGTGTTCAGTATTTGTTAGAATTTCCGTTGTTAGATTTTTAGTCACCTAACTAAAAAATTGTTCGATCCATTTTGTAGTTCCTTTACAGTTTAAACAACGATTTGCGATTTTTTGATCCATCAACATATGAAAACTAAATGTTCTATCATCCAGGTGTGAACAAGATGATGACAATTTGGGTGTAACGGTGAACAGCCATACTAACAACACTAACCTAAACAACAATAACTATGGAAATGAAAGATACTACAACAACAGTTACCTTAACAGCAGACAGAAAAAATCTTTGTTTAATGAGAGCACAGACACAATCACTGGTGAAACCAAACCCGACTTTTTTAGACTGGGTTCTTCATCAAGGTTCTATTACCAAGAAATGTGTTTGTTGGTTGAAAATTTTGAGAACATCACTTCCCACCAACGTGCATACGTTGGTGTAAAGTGATGTTTGTATTTGTATATTTTGCTTTGCTGCATGTGTTTTCAATGTCATGTTGGCGAATGTTTTATATCTGTTGATGTTATGTACTTCATATCTTGATGTAATTTTCTGTTCAATTATGAATAATAATTTTTGAATAATTGTGAATATTTATGTTGATGTTATATCAAAAAAGTAACGGCAGACAGGATTTGTCATCTTATGGTCGAAAGAAATCTATCGATGAAGGGCGCCCTGAGTTCTTTACTAATTTGCACTCAGAGTTAGAGTTCATCGGTTTCAAATATGTTTCAGTTTTTTAGCTTAGAAATTTTCGTTTCACTTTTCAGTTTTAGTTTATTAAGTTTGCTATTTTTTATTTTTGTTTTATTTTGAACCTAGCAACAGCAATCTCTCACTAGAATCCGCAAAGAAAAATTCATCACAGACTTCAATAAAAAGTGGCAACGATTCTGAGCTTGCTACGACGCTGAATGACGTTCACCAAACCAACCATACTTCCAATCTGCCTAACTCAAACTCTTCAAACGATTCTGATCCTAACCCACCAAAAAATTCCATCATCGCTGACAATGCCAGTAGTAACGGAGATTCTGACATTAAGGAGAAGTTTATTGATATCAAAGCTACTCAAATGTCCAAATGCAGATTTCCTAAACTGAAGCCAGTTGATCTTGGAAAGCCTGACTTTTTTAATATGGCGAGGTGATTATGTCAAAATTTGTAAATCTCACCAAATTACTTTTCTTCATGTAATGCATTTAAATTAGTAGCATCAAGTTATAGAATCTCTTGCTCGAATATAATGAATGGACGCCGATTAATTTTAAAATAGTTTTTAGTTTTTCATTAACTTTATTCTCTAGACCACAGAATTTGAGTTTGACGCCAGTAATTTTTCAAATCTTATGTAAAGCTGTATGCCCAACACGCATACCCAGAAGCACTCAGTAATAATTATGCCTTACCTGGCATCACACATTTCGAAATTTTTTCAACTGTAATACCCTTCTCGTGCTACCAGCTACATCAATTTGAATTTTGATGGCAATCTACTTGAAAATTTTGTTCAATTCCAAACTACGTTATTAAACCTTTTTTCATTTTCTAGATTTAACTTTATTATTTTTAGTTCCTATATTCATGCTTTTCCTTTATTTTCCCAAAAGAAATTTTTATTTTTAAGCATATTTATAAGCCCGAAAAATTTTTGATTAAAATTTTTAAACTAAAAAAAATAAAATTTTAGATCATACAACAGCAGTAACATTGGTTGCCGTGATGGTTTAAACGAAGGCACCCTAAACAGACAGAGATCAAAGTGAATTTCATTTCCTTACCTTTCTATATTATTATTCACTATTCACACTTGAACTTTCTCATTTCGGTCCATTTAATTGACTGAACCAGTTTAAGTAGTCCAACAGTTCCGTCGGCAAACTTCAGACGTCGCAAGGTAGATATCAACTCTTCAATACTGCCCACACCTATGAAACCACAAGCCAGACGTTAAACACTTGCAAGAAAAAGGGTTTAATTTTTCAATGTTAATTCAATGAAAATTGTTTGCCATATTTGTATCAAATATGCCCCTTGCTTTATTTGTCTACTGCCAGTTTCATGGGTATGGCAGTTATTGATTTACACTTTTGAGCTATTTTAAAACTTGAAAGTTTGCAATAATTATGTTGCCTTGACTCAAACTGTATTTTCATTAAGTTTTTTAATCAGTATCAATTTTAGACATCTGATTCGCATGTTTAATTATATTATTCACTATCTTGAATTCACTCTTGTTTTTCACTAGTAAGAAATAAAAAGATATCAAAAATTCATTTTATTACGATATAAAAGTTATGGCCACCATCATACATCTAAACAACAGTCACAAACAGTTGAAGTCGCATGGCCTTATAAAGGCATCCAAAAAATCATGTGAAAATTTTTTATGTTAAAACAAACATAAGTAAAATTAAAGATCAATGTTTATCAGTGTTAGACTACAGATTATATACATACTAAGAAGTTGCTAATTGGCTAATGATGGTATTATTTGTCAGCACTCTTCTTCTTAGCTGGCGATTTCTTGGCCTTGGCAGCTCCTTTCTTTGCTTTCTCTGAAAGTCAGATATTTACTGATAATTCAAAATTCGGATATTATGTACAAATTAAAAAACCTTATAATTGATTAACAATGAGAGTAGCAAGAGATTTTTGGAAATATGATGGATGGCTCAAGACTATTACTATTAGCCAAACAATTCTCTCAAAACTTTTGATAAGTATATATTACGTAACCTGAAATTAGTTTTATTACATGATTACATCCTGCCTGAAATCACAATGCCAATGCACTTGCAACAATGCAATAGCAATACATAAAAAACGTTGTGATATTTGTTGTTAATTAAATTAAAAATATAGTATTGATTATTTAGATATCTGATATGATATATATATATATATCAATAGTTAATTTGCATTCATCAAATAAACAATAATATTAATATTAAAATAAAATAATGGTGAATGAGGATCAAAGAGATTATAAATTTTAGTGCAGATGTGACGTCACTTACTCGTGACTTTGCCAGCTTTGGTGCCACCGCCCTTGGCAGTCTTCTTGTCCACTTTCGATTTCGAATCGCCCTCGGCGTTGCTGGCCGTCTTTTCCGTTTTAGCTGGAGGAATGAATGTGGTAAGAACAAGATCTTAGATTAGGCATTAAATTAAATAAATTATTAATCTAATTAGAAATTCTAATTTCTATATATTTATTTAAAGAACAAGATCGATGGGTTTAGTTTCGGAAGCATTACTAACATAAGACTTATGAAGAACAAATTGGTGATGCAAGTTGCAAAGTTTTAACAGACATGAAATATAACGAACGAAATGAATGAAAATAAAAAGACAAACGTTCAACGGCGGGAGCAGTTTCGTTCTTCTTCGGCTTTACCATTGTTGTTAAGTTGTTAAACTCCTTCAGTTACAACCACCAAATAATATTCAAAAAATTCTGTTTGAGTGTAGGTTGGAAAATTGAAATAAACGCGTGAAAAATTCAAACAATTAAGTTACAAATTGTAATAAATTCAGCGAGAAATGAGAGAATCAGTTGACCAACGTACCGAACCGATAAGGCGCGCTAACTTATTGAGAAGAATGAAGAGAAAAGGAGCAAATAAATTGCAAGAAGACGCCGTGGGAGGAGCTTAGGAGATTATTGACGTAATGTTTACAGCCTAGGCCTGACATAAACAACGAATCCAAATTTTTTTTTATTCCTAATCTTCTCTACAGCCAATTAAGAGAAAAGGCGCAAAAATTTGAATAATCTAAATTGGATTTGAAATATTAATTGAATGAGGGGTTTATTTTAAATAAGTATGTTTTAGTTTCAATACGCCAAATTTTCAATATAGTGATAACATTTTATTAATTTGTTGCAAAAACGAATTTCTCAACACAAAAAAAGATATATTTTTTAATGACGTCAACACGAACGTAGACTGTTATGTTGCGATGAAAATATGAAACTAAAATTCCAAATTGTTTACATGATCCTCTAAAATCCAAATTAACATCAAATAGATATTTAAATTTTTTGTAGAATTATATTGCTTCTTGTGTGACATCTAAATTTATCAGGATGATTGGGTTAAATTCTACAAAGCCACGAGGCGACACGAAAGATTATTTTCGCACGTTTGTGAACAATAGACCTAAGAATGAGCCCAATTTTATCTGGCCAATCGATCAAACTATGAGATACAAACGACAAAGTACCAATGAGGAAAGTACAACAGACAGCTATCTAAGCAGCTTCAAAAGCATCTATGCCGATGAAATTCTTATAAAACCAAAACTTATAAAAACCGACAACCAGCCGAGAGAAAATACTTTTGACACGATCTTTGGTAACTCCGTTCGTGGCTACAGCGTCAACAACACGACGACTGAAGCAGACAGTCATGAAGTCTTTTCACGCACCACGACGTTGAAAAACGAACCAGACATTCGATCCAAAGATAAATTAAGAAAAGAGCAGATGATGCAAATTAAAGCTCCCGCACCCATCCGGCAAGACCTCGTTGATCTATTGATATCAAAGGCTCAAGCAATTGATAGCACATTCATGGAGAACGTGGAGTCTGATACAAATTCTTTGGTGAATGGGTCAGCAAGCGAATCCATGTCCACTGGAAGAATGGATCAAAACCAGAGAAGTTTGTGGGTTCCAAAGCCTTTCTGAGATTCATTCGTATTTCAAATAAATGTCTGAATCAGCAATAATCTACTCAAGACAGTACAAACAACTTTTATATTAAAGTAATGATATCTGTTACATCTCTCATTTTAAACTTAAAGTTGTCAGCCAAAAAAATACCAACAAAAATAGATAAACGTGTTGACGTTTTTTATTGTAATGAAACAAAAAATTTAATGTACAAAAAAATTTATTAAAATTTATGATATTTGTATTTAAGGGCCAGTTCTTGACCCCTTCGTTTTTTATCTAATTTGTTGACTCTTTTCCAATACTGCCAACTATCCTGATCAATTTCTTCCAAAGGAGGTGGAGATCTAGTTAATCTGATTGATAGAAGAATTTTGGAAGTAATATAGCCTTAATATGCAAACATATGCATTAAAAGGTAGTATTATCATTAAAAACACAAGATCAGAATTTGTATCTTAAAGTTTAAAATCACCTTAAACTCCATAGCCAATCAGGATATTCAGATTTGTCTTTTAATACTGGGTCCTCTCCTTCTTTCAAAATATTTCCCCCACATAATCGACTGGTTAACAACTTCACATCTGTGACAGGCTGAAGTTTAGGCTTCAGGCTTACTGCTGGAGTACTTGATTTAGAGGTTTTTGCTGAAATACCTATTTAAATTCAGTGGCACATTAGTTCAATTTAAAAAAACCATTACACTAAAAGTTATACAAATTATGCTTATTTCATTTTATACAAGCAGATTTTTTTGAAAACAATTTCTTAATTGAGATTATATTATATGTTGTCTTCGGTGTATGTTTTGAGAAGTTTTTTCAAGTTGAATTTTTTACCATTGGTGTAATAACAAATATGTTAAAAGAATTAAATAGGGACAAAGAATATAAGAAGATAAGGAGTTGATATGGTGATTCAGATTATTCAATAATAACACAATACTATTGTGTTATTAATTAAGAATTAAGATTGAGTTATTTGAAAATATCTTTTGAAGAAAAACTTGACTAGCTAGCATAAGTTTGCAAGATATATTTTCAAGTATTAACCGTATTGTTAATTAATTTTAGTTATTAAATGTTAAATATATAGAATTAACAGTTTGTTTTTTTTACAAGTTTGTTTACAGAAGTCATTTTTAGTTTTTTACAAGTAATTCATTCATTTATTTACGCTAGTACTGTTCAATTTTTAGGGTTTTTGTTTTTAGAATTTGTTTCTTAAAAATAAAGCATAAAATGTAAAAAAAAATACAATTAAGAATAGAATAGAAATTATTAAGGATTTTTAATTAATTAATTAATCATTAACTTAAATTAATAAAGCACATGATAATCCTCCTAAAATCATTTTATTTATTTAATAAAATAAATAATAAAAAACATTAGATACTAGCAATATTTTTAAATTTATTATTAATTAGGTAGACTTTGGTGGTCGTATTTAAGATTCATTTATTTATTTTATAAGAATTTAGTAGACTTCTTTTTGAAGAAATAGTTGATAAGTTGGTGATACCAGATAGATAGCATAGGTGATGATCACAAAACAAATAAAACCTGCAGGCTTCTTAGCATAACATCTAACTGAACTTTTTACTGGACATCTGACACGTAAATACGGATTCAATAAAATGCAACAATTGGTCGAACAATTCCTCCAAAACATCGTGATCTTTGCGGTCAATGTTGTCATTTTAAATAGACAAAAGTGAATCGTGGTTTAAATTAATAGCTAATGTCCAAAAGTTACGAACGTCATAAATTGAATTTTTTAACGTAAGAAAATTATCAATCATTTATCTAATTTCTGTTCATTTGAAATAATTTTTGCAATAAAAATATATTTTTTGTTGTTTCAAAGTAAAAATATTGAGATATGAATGGAAAAGACTTGTTCAAAACTAATTTACTCATTTATTTTGAAAGATCATTAGAAGTTCTAATTTTAACCGCCAGAGGTCGCTGTGAACTGAAATAACGCTCGAATTGTTTTTTTAATCGCTAAGAATTATCTTTTTTATTTGAGTAAATTAAGTTTTGTAACAATCATATATATATATAGAATATACTCTTTATATATGGTAACAATAAGAGTAGCTATATTTGGTTGATTATTTTTTAGCATCTTATCTAAAAATCATAAACACCTAAGTTTTTGTGTATATTTTGTATTCTTTTATATTCTTTTATATTTTTTTGTATTTTTAAATTTCATTTTTCCACTCGGGGACGATGAGATATTTAAATTATTGGTAATTTAGTGGCCGATCGATTGCGGCTTTCAATGGAACTTCAATGGAAAATCAACTTCCGGGTGAATAAAGCGGTGTGTATGCTCGTTCAGCAAAGACGATCTCAAATCTGCATGTCTATGCATCAGGAAGAAGATACTAAATACGCATAAGTATCATGCAAATGCGTGAAATAAATTAAATTAAACAATAGCTAAAATAAATAGGTTCTTTGAAATAAGAATAAATATTAAGAAATTATAAAAATTGTACTAGAAACAAATGAAATGATTTTTGAATAGTCGCAACTAAACCTACCATGGTAATTTGGCAATTGGATTTAGCTGCGACAGCCTGTTCTTCAGTGCAATCCAGCAAGCCCACATCGATGACCAGGTAGTAGCCTTACTTCATTCCAGCCACGATCTGTCATAATTTGCACGAGTAACGTATCACAAACACTCAACTAATTGAGCAATTATCTATTAACAACTACTAACAATTAATCAACTGCGCAAATGTAACAATCTTCTCTAAAACAAATTGGACGGAAGTTTGAGAAATAACCTGAGTTTTGGCAGATTTTACGGAACGAACTCTTTCAGTAAGGCCAAAAGTCATTGTATCGTTATTAAGTTGAAGAATTAGTTCGGCCTTCTCTTTAATTATATCACTGTTCGGATCTACTACAGTTCGTTCCCCGACCGTGTGCACAACATTTGCGAACTCACAGCTGAAAGTGCAGACGACCAGCAGGCAGATCGCAAATTTCATATTTGGAAGATAATTTTTTCTACCCTTGAAAAAAGTTGTAAATATTATTTTTCTTAAACTTGTTGAATCTTTTTTTAGAAATTATCTTAAAAAAAAACAGAGAATTCATTTGTAATGAAGTCATGATTAATTAAACAAAAATTATTTATTATAAATAAATGAAATCTAAACCGAACAAAAATCTGTAAACTTCTAAAACTAAAACACCGCTAAAAACCATAGTTTATTTTTTTACAATTTGCTAATTATAACATTTATCTTATTTTAATCAACTTAGATGAGCCGAATTGATACCAGATTCGAGAAGGAGGAACAAGCTAGACTATCGAACAACTGAACTGAGCACTGTCCTATATGGTCAAATATAGGTAGTTGTTCTTATTACAAGGTTATTATTATTATTGTTATATATTATTTATTAGTTAATTATTTATGTCGTTAGTTACTGTAATTTGTAATTTTATTATTGATTATCTTTATGGCGCCATGTGGCTAGTTATTGGATACGTGTGAAGTAGAGAGTACATTCAATGAAATATAAAAATTAGAAATACGTGTGAATACGTTTGAGATAAGAAAACATAAACCGCTGCTAAATTGTTGCAATGAAATATTACTTTGGAATTAATTGGTCGCAAAATTTTATGGAAGTAAATAAATTAGTTAATCGTACATTACATGGATTATTGGTATACATTATAAGTATTTGTATTTGTATTAATATTCGCTTTTTAAATTCTCGTCCCAAGTATGTGAAATATAGATAGTAAAATTTCGTTGCGTGCTTTTAGAAATTCCTGCAAGAAAAGATAATAAATCAATTAAAGTAGTAAAAGTTTATGAAGTTTTGAACCTGATATCATTAACGCACACACACTTACACACCCACACACACACACACACACACACACACACACACACACACACACACACACAATCTGATATCATCAATGCTGCACACACACCCCTATATGCGTTCAAACACACACAGACACACACACACTGTCAAACACACATCACATCGCATAAGCCAACGCAAAATTTTATAGACATGGACACTTTTAAAAAAGACACATACATATACATACGTACACATATAAACACACAAAAAACATTGAATGTTTGAAGCATCTTTTATTTGAAATAATTATCTAAATTAATTGGATTGATAGTTTTGAGGTTTTTTTATAGTTAAAATTCAACCACTATTATATAGAAAAATTTGTTGATTGACAATTAACGATTTAGAATCAAAAATTTGTGTATACATTGTCGACAGATGGATTATAATACAAAATATTTAATTTTATGGTATCATAAAATTAAATTTTATATTTTACTATATTTATTCATTTTCTTTCATCATTTCTTTTTTTCATTTTTTGCCGTACGTGGTCTTCTAGGTTCACACCAGCATTCAAATATTTTCTACGTCGTCTTGAATTTATTTAAATTAATTTGTTTCCAAAATAGGTAAAAGTCATTCAACAACTGTATAAAAATGCAAAAAAATTAAACAAATTCTCCACTGACCCTTTCTGTATACATGTTTACGTTTTAAATGTAATAAAAACGCCAATTTTTTTGGAGTTTTATCATTTTAATTAAGTTTTCACGGGAAAGTGAAAAAAAAGAAACTGAGAAAGAAGTAAAAAGTGAAACAAATGCTTGGTGAGAGAGGACTCGCTAAGTATCACGCCATGTGCTGCCAAGGTGCAAACAGGACAAAACCCATGAGAGGAGCGTAAATTTTTTGCCGAGGACCTAAAAAAGTAGATGAAAATCTTAAAGCAATGCATTATATATGAGCATTTTTGAGAATTGTTGAAGTGGAAAATTTTTGATTTGAAATGCTTCGAATTATTTATCGTTAATTTATCATTTTTGTTTAATTAATTAGCAGAACCAACCACACTGACATTTTGAAAATCGTTTCAAGTTGAAAAACAACAATTTTTTTAAAATTAGGTAGACATATAATTAATGTATTAAATAACACACACGCACGCACGCACGCACACACACCACACCAAACACTCTCACACAAAAACACACAAGCACACGTTTGGAACAGCGAATATGAAATGTTTGTTGAAATTTTTGAAGAGTACATCAAAAGTTGAAACGAATTGTAGATCAATCATTTTATTTGGATGCAGATGCAGAAAAAAAACGAAATAAAATCGTGTCTAAGTGCATGTGTATGATCACATTTTGCTGTTTGTTCTCTTTGCTACTGAGTATCTGGGTATGTCTCTCTCCTTTCCTCTCTCTCTCTCTCTCTCTCTCTCTTCTCCTTTCTATAGTCTTGTACATTTGTTCACTTGTTTGTCCGCTGTTTATTGAATGGGTGTTTATTCATTTTGTTAATGCATGTTCGTGTGCCTGTATGTTCGAACGTGTGTATGTGTGTGTGTGGTTGTGTGTGTGTGTGTTTAACCATTTTAAATGAAAACGCGGGATTGCATTTTGTGTTTGCACGAGGATTTGTGAGTTTGTTTCTCCAATAGTTAAGCCATCTACTGACATCGGGTTCTCAACACTGCCACTTCAACATCACTTAATTCAAAATATATTT